GATGAGGTCTCGCTGCCCAGGCGGGTCTTGAACCCGCGGGCTCAGGCAATCCACTCACCTCAGCCTCCCAAAGGCGCGGGATTATAGGCTGAGCCACTGAGCCCGGCTGATGTTCTTTTATTTTATAAGTTGAGACATCTAGGCAGAATGCAAAGACAAGATTTCTTTCTTTTCTTTTATTTTTTTTGAGTTGCGTCTCACTCTGTTGCCCAGGTTGGAGTGCAGTGGCATGATCATGGCTCACCACAGCCTGGACCTCCTGGGCTCAGGCGATCCTTTTGCCTTGGCCTCCCCATGTGCTGGGACTATAGGCATGAGCCACTGCACCTTGCCAGGAATTAGTTTTTTCTTAATGAGTCTTATTCTTTAATCAGAATATAGGGTCTTACGCATATTACCTAAAGCAGGCTTTGTTGGTACATTAAGACCTTCCACACTTGGTCCTTGTTCTGGTCCGCCTGAAAATTTAAAACACTGATATTAATGCAGAAAACATACTTATCAAACATGTTTTTGAATGCATAGTAATTTGATTTGCTCAATATTACATAACTTAGCCAATTTTGCCAATGATCATCTTTGTAGCTCCATATTCTATTTTATCATTATAAGAATTTTGATTTAAAAGTCCATTAAAGTAGAAGTGTATTTTTTTCTTTTTTTCTTTTTTTTTTGAGTTGGAGTCTCACTCTGTCGCCCAGACTGGAGTGCAGTGGCCGCTTCCGGCCACCGCAGCCTCAACCTGCTGGGCTCCGGCGATCCTTCTGCCTCAGCCTTCCAAGTAGCCGGAATTATAGGCATGTGCTACCACGCCCGGCTGATTTTTTGATTTATTGCAGAGATGAGGTCTCGCCAAGTTGCCCAGGTGGGTCTCGAACCCGCGGGCTCAGTCAATCCACTCACCTCAACCTCCCAAAGCGCGGGATTACAGGTTGAGCCACCGAGCCTGGCTAGAAGTGTATTTTTTATCCAATGGCCTTAAGAATAAAAATGCTAGTGGCTTCTTCCATTAATATCATTCAGAATTTTACTCATAAGTTGGTGTTTTTAAAGTGACCAGTCATAAAGATACCTAGCACATATGTGAACTATAGACCTGACATATGATATATGTTAATATTTGGAAATTCTAACATCAATTACATCAATGATGGAAACCTACATTTTCAGCTGCCAAGAAATTTGCTGTGTTTTCTACTTTACTTAAAAAGTGATCCTGGCTGGGAACTCTATTAGGTTTTCATTAAAAATATATTTTGTTACATTTATTACTTTTTTATTTGGAGTTGGATTCTCACTCTGTTGCCCAAGCTGGAGTGCAGTGATGCCCTCAAGGCCACTGCAGCCTTGACCTACTGGGCTCAGGTGATCCTCCCACCTCAGCTTTCCAAATAGCTGGAACTACAGGCATGTGCCACTACCCCTGGCTAATTTTTGGTTTATTGCAGAGACGAGGTCTCACCAAGTTGCCCAGGCTAGTCTCAAACCCCTGGGCTCAGACAATCCTCTCGCCTTGGCCTCCCAAAATGCTGGGATTATAGGCGTGAGCCACCACACTTGGCCTATTTATTACTCTAAAAATAGATAAACAAAATGTAGTTTATCCATTCAATGGAATATTATTTGGCCATAAAAAGGAATGAAGTACTGATAGATGTTACAACATGGATGAACTTGAAAAAATTAAGATAAAGACAAGAAGCCAGTCACAAAAGACCACATATTACATGGTTCCATATATATGAAATGTCCAGAATAGACAAATCCATAGAACTAGAAACTAGACTAGTGGTTGCCAAGGTCAGAGGGAAATGGGAAGCGACTATTAATAGGTAAAGGAAGTCCCCGACATACAAATGAGCATGGTTCCGAGAGCATGTTCATAAGTCCAACAGTCAGCCTAGGTACCCAACTAACAAAATTGGCTATATAGTACTGTATGTATTTAATAGGCTATATTGACACCTGGTGGAGAAAAATAATACATAAAAAATGCATGTGTGCGTAACTAAAGTTTGTAATTTGAAGGTAGGGGACTTACTGTATGTAGTTCATGGGTTGTTGGAAATATTCTGAAATTAGATAGTGGTATTTATACCACAACCTTATGAATATACTAAAAACCACCAAACTGTATACTTTAAAGGGTGAATTTTATGGTATGTTAATTATTTTTAAAAATTAAGCCAGGCTCGGTGGCTCAGCCTGTAATCCCGCACCTTTGGGAGGTTGAGGTGAGTGGATTGCCTGAGCCCGCGGGTTCGAGACCCGCCTGGGCAGCGAGACCTCATCTCTACAATAAATCAAAAACTCAGCTGGGCATGGTAACGCATGCCTGTAATTCCGGCTACTTGGAAGGCTGAGGAGGAAGGATCACCGGAGCCCAGCAGGTAGAGGCTGCGGTGGCCGGGAGCGACCACTGCACTCTAGTCTGGGCAACAGTGAGACTTCAACTCAAAAAAATAAAAAAATAAAAAAAATCGGGTCCAACAGTGGTTTAGCGGATACTCCACTGTTTCATTTTTATAAGTATCTAAAAGGTAAATTCTGGCTAAGATGTTTAAACAAGCAAAACAGGATGAACGAGCACAATTTATTATTTTTTTTTTTTAGTTGAAGTCTCACTCTTTATTGCCCAGACTGGAGTGCAGTAGCATACTGATGGCCACTGCAGTCTCAACCTGCTGGGCTCAGGTTATCCTTCTGCCTCAGCCTTCCAAGCAGCTGGAACTACAGACATGTACCACCATGCCCAGCTAATTTTTTGATTTATTGTAGAAATGAGGTCTCGCCAAATTGCCCAGGTTGGTCTTGAACCCGTGGGCTCAGGCAATCCTTTCACCTTGGTCTCCCAAAGTGTTGGGATTATAAGTGTGAGCCACTGCACCAGATCCACCATGTTATTTATTTATTATTTCTTCTCTCTTTATGGATATGGTTAATGGTAAATCAATCAGTGGCTCAGGCAGATTTCTTTTTTTTTTTTTTGAGTCAGAGTCTTACTCTGTCGTTCAGGCTAGAATGCAGTGGCACGCTCAAGACCACTGTAGCCTTGACCCACTGGGCTCCAGTGATCCTTCTGCCACAGCCTTCCAAGTAGCCGGAACTACAGGTGTGTGCTACTACACCCAGCTAAGTTTTAATTATTGTAGAGATGAGGTCTCGTCAAGTTGCCCAGGCTGGTCTCAAACCTGCGGGCTCAGGCAATCCACTTGCCTCAGCCTCCCAAAGGCTGGGATTACAGGCCGAGCCATTGAGTCCAGCCAGATTTCTCATCTTAAAAAATAATCTCTCCATAAGAGGAGCTCACAGCTCAGCAAAGGGGATGCATAGTAGACATACAAACTAACAGACACGGTAATTCAGAACTGGGGTGTACTGTGTTATGAGAAAGAAAAAAATACATAAATGTAGTTAGTTGTGCTTGCTGGCTGGACTTAAAGCTGAAATCCAATAAGGAGGCAGCCCCATGCTGCTCAGGAGAGAGTCACATTTCAAGCAAAACAGAAAGCAAACACAGGAAAGAATCCAAGAACGAGTATGGCTGTAGTGGATTATAAAAGCTAAGATATAAAAAAGCAAAACTCTAGTTAGAGGTGAATAAACATCTTCTTTGCAGGCATCTAAGGTCATATGTCCAAAAAAATGAGTGCAAAAAAGAAAAAAAAAATCAACCAGGTGCAGTGGCTTATGCCTGTATTCTCAACACTTTGGGAGGCGGAGATGAGAGGATTGCGTGAGTCCACAGGTTCAAGACCAGCCTGGGCAATTTGATGAGACACCGTCTCTACAATAAATCAAGAAAAGTTAGCTGGGTGTGGTGGTGTACACCTGTAGTTTTAGTAACTTAGAAGGCTGAGGTGGAAGGCCTGCCTACGCCCAGCAGGTCTAGGCTGCAACGGCCATAAGTGTGCCACCGCACACTAGCCTGGGTGACAGAGACTTCGTCAAAAAAAAAAAAAATTGGGTCATGCTTGGTGACTCATGTCTATAATCCCAGCACTTTGGGAGGCTGAGGTGAGAGGATTGCCTGAGCTTATGGGTTCCAGACCAGTCTGGGCAGCTTGGCGAGACTTCATCTCTACAGTAAATAAAAAAATTAGCTGGGTGTGGTGGCGAGGGTTGGTGGAAGGCTAAGGCGGAAGGATCACCTGAGATCAGTAGGTCAAGGCTGCGGTGGCTGTCAGCATGCCACTGCGCTCCAGCCTGGTGACAGTGTGAGACTCCAACTCAAAAAAAAAATCACAGGTTGAAAATCATGCCTGAGCCCATGGGTTCAAGATCCGCCTGGGCAACTTGGCAAGACCTCATCTCTACAATAAATCAAAAATTAGCCGGGCGTGGTAGCACGCGCCTGTAGTTCCAGCAACTTGGAAGGCTGATACGGAAGGATCGCCGGAGCCCAGCAGGTCGAGACTGTGGTTGCCGGCAGCAGCCACTGCACTCCAGTCTGGGCAGCAGAGTGAGACTACAACTTAAAAAAAAAAAAAAAAGAAAGTCATGCAAAACCAGCCAAATCAGATGATATGCAATAGTCTTCTTTGCATATTAAGAAAACAAGTCTTTTGCCCATATATAAATTGCAAATGTTTACCATTTGAAGTTCTTTTTCAGAATAGAAATGTTAAATTCATATATAGTCAGATTTATTAATCTTTTCCTTTTATGAGGTTATAATATGCATAGAAAGCCTCCCTGTTTCAGGATAATGAAAAAGTTTTACTCATGTTTTCTTCTAGGACCATCAGATATTCATTTAAATCTTTCATCCACCTGAATTTAGTCTGCATAAAGAGTAAAGAAGGAATTCTGCTTTGTTTTATTTTTCCTAAAATGTCAGACACTTGTCCAAATTCCATTCATTGAATAACACATTTTTCCCCAGGATATGAAATGCTTCTATCCTGACCTATTGATATATCAACTCCTATTCTGGCATTCTAAAATCTGTTTGGTGGGAATCTTGGGCACTCCCTCACACCTATAATTCAACAGAGAGGAAGACAGGAAGCAACTCCTGTTCTTTTTTTTTTTTTTAGTTGGAGTTGTCACCCTGTTGCCTATCCTCAACCTGCTAGGCTTAGGTGGTGTGTTCTAAGTAGCTGGAGCTACAAGCATGTGCCACCATGCCCAGCTAATATTTTGACTTATTGTATAGATGAGGTCTCACCAGGTTTCCCAGGCTGGTCTCAAACCCGTGAGCTCAGGAAATCCTCTCCCCTCGGCCTCCCAAAGTGTTGGGATTATAGGCATGAGCCACTGTGCCTGGTCAGCAACTCCTGTTCCTTGATAAATATCACTTACTATCTAACCGTCCAGTAAAATCCTTACCAGAAATTTTCTCAGTGTTATCACCTAACCCAAAGGTTGGTGACTGTTTAGTCTTCCTGTTACCCTAAGTTTCTTGTTCAGGCTCAGTTTATATAAGCCAGCACTTCTTATTTTTTCTTTTTTCTTGAGTCAAAGTCTTATTCTGTCACCCAGGTTGGAGTGCAGTGGCACGCTCATGGGCAACGCAGCCTCGACCTGCTGGACTTGGGTGATCCTTCCACCTCAGCCTTCCAAGTAACTGGAATCACAGGCATGTGCCATAATGTCTGGCTAATTTTTCTTGATTTATTGTAGAGATAAGGTCTCATCATGTTGCCCAGGCTGGTCTTGAACCCTTGGGCTCAGGCAATCCTCTCACCATGGCCTCCCAAAGTGCTGGGATTATAGGCCTGAGCCACAGCACCCTGCCAAGCCAGCGCTTTTTTTTTTTTTATTGTAAGACAAGGTGTCACCATGTTGCCCAGGCTGATCTCGAACCTGTGGGCTCAGGCAATCATCTTGCCTTGGCCTCCCAAAATGCTGGGATTACAGGCTTGCGCCACCATTCTCAGCCGTAGCCAGCACTTCTTATTGTACCCATCCTATGTTCGCTGCTTAGTTGTCCAAAGTTTCATTTCTGTTATTAATTTCTTTTTTTTTAATTTTTCTTGTTTTTTTTGAGTTGAAGTCTCATTCTGTCGCCCAGACTGGAGTGCAGTGGCCGCTCCCGGCCACCGCAGCCTTGACCTGCTGGGCTCCGGCGATCCTTCCGCCTCAGCCTTCCAAGTAGCTGGAACTACAGGTGTGCGCTACCATACCCGGCTAATTTTTTGATTTATTGTAGAGATGAGGTCTCACCAAGTTTCCTAGGCGGGTCCCGAACCTGTGGGCTCAGGCAATTCACTCACCTCAGCCTCCCAAGGCGCGGGATTACAGGCTGAGCCACCGAGCCTGGCTTTGCTACTAATTTCTATTAACATCCTGGTTAACAAAAGATGCACATTTTTATAACACAAAGAGCTGACTATTCATATTGTGAGATTTTTAGTTTGTAAGTAATTGATATAAGTATATTTACCAGAAATGTAATCTTACAGTAAAGTCATCAAATGTGAATCATTAGGTATCTACTATTTATATAATGGTTTTTAAATTGAAATTTTATTTTCTAATTATAAAAGTAACATGCTCATTATAAAAGTTGAGACACTTCAACACTATATCAAGTAGAAGCTAAAAATCCTCAGCAATTTCATTCTCTAGTTAATAATTTAGTATGTGCCTTTCAGAATGTTTTCTTTGAGTACGTTTTTCTTTCTTTTTTAAAAAATGAGATCACATTCCATATTCAGAAATATTTCCCTCCATTTCATAATCTATCATGGATATCTCTTCCTGTTAGTATAGAAGGGTCTCCATCTTAATTTTTAATAGTTTGATAGCATTCCATTGAACCATAGAATAGCATTACATGACAGTTCTAAGGATTCCACCTTCATTATTTTCTGGAGTAGTTTCCACGGCCCTTGGTGTTAAAAAAGATGGTTCTGGTGGTGTTGATGCCCACGCTGTGTCACTCACCTGAAACAAAGTGAGAAAAGTCATTAGCAGACAAAGCAAGAAAACAGGCATAAAAAAACAAACAAACCAAACAAGTCAAAGCAGGAGAAAAAAAACTAACAATTTAAATAGCCACCATCTAAATCGCTGCTTAGTGGAAAGCAAGGATAAAATATCAAAACATATCTGCTATTTTTTTTTTTTTTGAGTTGGAGTCTCACTCTGTTGCCCAGACTGGAGTGCAGTGG